TAAATTTTACACACACACACATAATTTTCTACTTGTGTAGAGGATTTATATGTTCAGGCATCAAGACTCACCCTACCTCTAGTGAAAATATAATGTGTTTGAAATTAGTAATTAACATAGGGTTTGAAATTCACACCAAGGGAACAGAATAGAGTGCCTAGAAATGGAACCACAAATAGACAGTCAGTTAATTTATGACAAAGGCTTATAGCAATTCAATGTGAAATGAATAGTCTGTCAAGGATATTGGGACAATTGGATATGCGTGTGGACGAAATATAGAAACTTGAAACAGTTTTATTCAAGATAAATCATATACATTAATGTGAAACCTAAAGAGAAATCTTGTGGTATGACTGTTTTCACAATGTTGGTTTAGATAAAGACTTCTTAAGCCTGACAAAAAGCACTGAAGTGACAAAAATCACTAATTTTCAAAATGTAATTATTGATAATATTTGAGTATATATCTACCATTTTTAAATTTTAATTTTAATGTGTTTGAGACAGGGTCTCACTCTGTCAGCCAGGCTGGAGTGCAGTAATTATGGTTGACTGTAGCTTTGAACTCCTGGACTCAAGTGATTCTCTCACCTTAGCCTCCCAAGTAGCTGGGACCACAGATACATGACACCATGCCTGGCTATTTTTTTAAATTATTTTTATTTTTTATTTTCGTAGTTGTCCAAGCTGGTCTCAAACTCCTGGACTCAAATGATCCTCCCACCTTGGTCTCTCAAAATGTTGGGATCCACCACACCATGCCTATATCTACCATTTTAGTAAATGTTTTCTATTTGTCTCAACTGTATTATGTTCTTTTTTTCTCTTTTACTTGCCTTACTTTGGATTAATGAAACCCTTTTAAAATTACTGTAATTCCCCTGTCAGTAGCTTGATGATAAGATTCTCTTACTACTTCTTCAGTTGTTACTCTAGGTATTGAAGCACACATTCTGGGTATGTTGGAGTCTAATGTAAATTAGTACTTTTATCTCTTTATAGATGTATCATGAACTTTAAACTACTTTAATTCTATTTAATTCGCTCCACATACTGTGTTATTATTCTAATGTATTTTAATTCTACATATATTTTAAATCCCACAGCTGATTATCACTCTTGGTCTGCACAGTTATTATTAATTTCAATTTACCCCCTTTCTTGCTCTTCATTCCTTCCATTATTTTGTGTGTGTTTGAGTGTGTGCCTCTGTCTGGGTCATTTTCTTTATGTGTGAATAATTATTTTTAGTATTTCTTTTTATAGGCAGTGGTTTTTATGAGATATTGCTATGGAAGGAAGTGTTGGGAAGGGAAGGGAATGGTCCCTTTAAATGATACGGAAGCAGGGAAGGGCGTGGTCCCTGGCTAGGGCTCCACCCCTGGGCCTGTGCCTTGGGACCCAGGTGAGGACAGGCACTCCTGCCTTTGCACCCAAATGTTGTGTTTCCCAAGACCACCCTAGCCTGCCATGCCCCCATCCTGTGCCTATAAAAGCCCCCGACACCCTAGCAAGCGGACACACAGGCAGATGGACGTCAAGAGGAATGCACCGACAAGCACCAGCATGCCAGCAGGCCACCGACCAGCAGAACTACACGGAATTTAGCTGGAGCAGTTGGAGGAGAGCCCAGGCCACTGAGCGGCCCGACTCCAGTGGAAAACCTTCCCACTCCATCCCCTTCTGGCTTCCTCCATCTGCTGAGAGCTGCCTCCGCTCAATAAAACTTTGCACTCACTCTCCAAGTCCAGGTGTGATCCGATTCTTCCAGTGCACCAAGGTAAGAACCCAGGATACATAAAGCAGTCTGTCCTTGCGACAAGGTAGAGGGTCTAATTGAGCTGGTTAAGACAAGCTGTCTATAGACCGCAAAACAAAAAGAGCACACGTAGCAAACGCCCACTGGGGCTTCAGGAGCTGTAAACATTCACGCCTAGACACTGCCGTGGGGTCAAAGCCCCACAGCCTGCTCCTGTGTGCTCCCCTAGAGATTTCAGTAGTGGGGCGCTGAAGAAGCGAGCCACACCCCCATCACACGAGGGGGGCAAGGGAACATTTCCCGTTTCCGTATCTCCATTATTGTTTATCTACAAAACCATTTGTGTTTTCTGCAGCGCTTCAAAGATGTCATTCCATTTTCTTCTGGACTTTTTAAACACCTCTCTCTGATTTTAGATTTCAGCAGTTTGAATGTAATAGCTCAGTGATTTTTCTTTGCACATATTCTTCTTGAGTTTGCTGATTCTGTTAAATCTATGGGTTAATATGTTGATATCTTTCATCAGGCTTGGAAAATTCTCAGCCCTTATCTTTACAAAAATGATTCTTGTTCCTTATCTCTCTCCTCTCCTTCTGGGGCTACAGTTGCATCTGTGTTAGACCTTTTTTATCATTTTCCATTTGTCTCTTATTATTTTTTCTCTATATTCTATTTCTTTCTTTTTTGCTCTAGATGGTATATTTCCTGCTGTCCTTTCTTCCATTTAACCTCTATTCCTATGGGTTCAATTTGCTGTAAACCTAAGTTCTTAATATCAGTTATTATATCTTTATTTTTACAATTTCTATTTGGTATTTCTTATTGATTACTGCCCTGGGGTTCAATTTTCCACCTTTTCTCACATTCGTGAACATATTAATCACTGTTATTTTACAGGATATCTTAAATAAGCACTATATCTCATCCAACTGTTGTTCTTTTCTGTTTATCCCCCCTGTTGGTCCTGTATCTTGACATACTTGGATTTTTCTAAATGCCCAACATTTTATATGAAAAATATTGGGTAAACCTGTGGTTTATGTTATTTTCCATTAAAGGAGGTTTACTTTGGTTTCTAATAATCATTTTAGAGTTGAAGAGAATCACTCTAATTGATTCAGAGACTGAAGTGATTTCAGACTGGATTTCTGGGTACAGAGGGCCTGTTCTAATTCAGGTTTGCCTTTACTCCTAGGACAGAGATTTCCAGAAGTTCCAAGAACCAAGTCTTAGTTCACCAGGGTCCTCCTCCTTGATAGGTCTTGAATTCAAATTTTTATCTCCCCAAAGAGCAATACTTCTAAAAACTTTGTTTAACTTCTCAGCCTCTGACTGCTTTCTATGTTTCCTGTGTTACTTAGGTATCATGAAATACCTCAGGGAGGAAAAAGGCCCTGGGTATGTGCTGCTTCCCTGTGCTTTCCTTCTCCCTGGGATATGACCTTATCACTTCCAACTTTGGAATGTCCTCATAGTCCAATTTTTATCTCCCAAGCCTTGAGAGTCTATTAACACCTGTTTAGCCAACACTTTCTACTTGGTCTTTTACTGGAAATCTGAAATCTGTACCTCCTCCATAGTGTGGCATATGAATTGGTAAAGTTCTCGAAAGGCAAATATAGCATAAAATGTTGGACTCATTGCAGTGAATTTCCCATTTTTTAAGAAAGGAATTTTAGCTTCTCAATCCTCTTCATAGTTGTCTCAGCTCCTAGTCCTCCTTTCCTCCTCTTCATTTTTCTTCTTCTTCTCTCTCTGTCTCTGTCCCTCTTGCTCTAAATATATATGCATATATTTGGTTTACTGCATGCTAATCTGTCATAGTCTCAAGCAGAAATCCCCAAAGAATTTATGTGAAAAATGAGCGACTCCAATTTGCCTAAATTGGCCTGTATTTTTCTAGTTCCAACTGAAGAATTTTTGGCACCTTAGTATTTAGAAGATTGAATACAATTGAAAGCCACTCATTAAGGAGATAATCAGGAAAGGAGTATTGGGTTACACAGTGGTTCTGTAAATGGCCCTTGGACCAGAGATATGCACATCATTTGAGCTAGAGTTTCAAACTCGTTATTTCACAGTTATTTTGCCTATGAGATTTAAAATACTACAAATTTTCATCAAACCTGACAAAGCAATCATAAATGCTTCATCTTTCCATCTTCATGTCACACTCCAGAGCCTCTGACTTCTCTATACCCCTCGCCTTGCCATGGTTTTTGTTTTTCTTGAGCACAATGCACAACCTGTGAACTTGTTAGAAATGTATATTCTTGGGCCAGACTCCAACCTACTGAATCAGAATCTTTAAAGATGTGGCCAAGAAAACTGTGTTTTCACATGCTCTCCAGGTGATTTTCTTCTACCTGGCAAAAACTGAGGGTCACTGGACCATCAGCAGAGGAAGCTGGAAGTCAATGTTATATATTTTAATTCTGGTGTCATTGTTAGCCCTTAAAATCCCTTTGTATTTACAGGGCTTTACACAATGGTAACCATAATTAGGTACCCAGAAAACGTGACTGAGGATAGGACTGCTTGGTTTAATAATTGAGATGATTTAATGTCAGTACTTATGCTTTAGAGACCGTCTTCCTCATTTACAAGATGACAGATTCCTGTGTATATTCTAAAATATATAAGACAAATTTCATCTTATCCACCATATAAATAGACATTTCAGACAACCATAATCTGGCAAATGATAATGCATGCTTTTAATGATATCCCTGAGGTGCCACACAATACAAACTCTCAACTGCCAGATAAATTACACTCAATTATGTTTAGATTGGTCTCAGTGCTATATGCATGACCATCATGTTGCCCTTGGAAAAGAAAACCCTGCAGGCTGAGAGGGGATGAAAGTATTAGCATCTCTCAGGTTAGTTTAGTATGTGTATATATTAAATTATTTCAGGAATATTATTTATGTATTCTGAGAAAATCGATTTTGCTAAAATTGCCAAGAAGGCAAGATTAAATCTGACAGATCCTCCAAAAGTAAGAGATTAAGTATGAGTGAAGAACAACTTGCGGTGAAATGTAAGTAATTAAAGAAATAGATCAGGGAAGGTGAAGTGATAACAACAAAAACCAAGGAACTAAAAGTAAAATAAAAATTTTTACATAGCATCTAAAATGGAGAAAGTTGAAAAAGATATGGAAACAAAACCATGGTTTATTAACAAAAATCACTGGCCATAGAAAGTAGCAGGGAGATAGGAATCAGCCCTACCTCTTCTAATTGCACCATGAGAGTGACGTTGTGTCCTTGCTCCGCTGTCAGCTTTCCATCAGCCGTGACTATCCGCAGCCCCCGCGGGGCTTTCCCTGGGCACTTCTGTGGTTTAGCAGTGTACTGTTCCCTTACTCCATCAGTGCAATTATTGGAAACCACCTTCCTGTACCTAAATGGAAAGAAGCTCAAGTTGTAAGGCAGCTCATTATAATGTGAATCATTCCCACGTTTCTAAATTAGACATAGTGCCTAGCCCTGAGGACCATCAGTAAGCATGTAACCATCTTTCATGCTACTATAAGGAGTAGGATTAATTCATATAAAGCACCCAACAGAGAGAGAATCATGGTCACACGCTGTATCTATTACTAGCATTGTAACTGAGTTTTATTCATCTCTAAAATTAATGAATCACTTCATTGTGGAGTTGTGGGAAATGCGCAGAAATAGAAGATATAGTCCCTACTCTCACTAAGTTTATAAGCTAGTTGGAAAGACATAGATGGCTAATCTAGGAGATAATTCAAAGGCTATATAATTAAGAACTAGAATGAGTAATAAATATTGCAAAGGCATTTACAATTCAGAGAAAGAATAGATTATGATGGATATGTGACTCAACATTCATAGATCGCATACAGACTGCTACAGTTATGGTGTAGCACAGACAACACTGGCTAAATTTGATATTTCTACTCAATATTTCATGAGAGGTTATACTGGTTAAACGATCAAACCTCACATTAAAGAGACTTTAGTTTTTGCAGATTGATGCTCTTTTGCTTATTTCTTGTTTTAGCTATAATGGGAAAAAATTTATTCTATAAAATTAACCTATATAATTTATCAGATTCATAGTAAACTAAAAATTTGCAATTTTAGGATGACAAACCTTTAAGATTTTTGAGGTTCAGTGTTATCTAGCCATTATCGTTTTATACTGTTGGGTCCATAGCAACCACTTTATGTATGTATATATTTGATTTCCCAAGTTTAAGTGCCTAGAGTTAGTGGTAGAGCCCAAATGAGAAGCAATCAAAGCTTACTTTCCACTCTTCTAGACCAGAGGTCAGCAAACTTTTTATATAAAGAGCCAGATAGTCAATGTTTCAGTTTTGCAGGTTATGTAGACTTTGTCACAACTACTTAACTCTGCACTTACTGTATGAAGGTGAACACAGACAACACATGAGAGAATGTATGCAGCTGGATTCCAGAAAACCTTTATTTACAAAACTGGCATAGTTTTCCAATGTGTTTAAGTCCAGTGAATGCCCTTTCCTCTGCGAGAAAGTCAAAGGAGATACTGTCTGGAAAAGTACTTTGAACACTACGGATCACTACAATGTCAATTATTAATGCTTAACTCATTTCATATGTTAAATGTAAGAATTAAATGGGTTAATAATGTACACAGAGTACTTAAAAGTACCCTAATACTCCGCAAGTGCTCATAAAATATGACCAATTATTTATGTTTAATATTATTACTATTTCTCTTCTCTGTTCAAAACCTTCATGGACTTCATATGACCTTAGGATAAGCTGTAAATTCTGTAATCCTGGGCATGAAGCCCTCCACTAGCTAATTTTATTCTACTTTCCTGGACTCTTTCTCCCTCATAAGCCCACGTCCATTCTCCTTTTAATTTTCTTGAGAGTACGTGTTTTTTCTCCTTTTCTGCTTCAATGTCCTCCTGCATGCCCTATCATCTGCCTAAAATGTGCCCACCTTTAAGGTACAGCTTACTTCTTGTCTTCTTTAAGACAATTTCTCTGAATATAAGAGTAAAATGGCAGGAATTTCATATTTAGAGTGCTTACTATGTCCTAGTTATTGTGCTAAGTTCTTTACATAAATTAACTCATTTATCTTCGAAAGTATCCATAAGATACTGTAACTATTCCCAATAAACAAATGGAGGAATTGAGATTCATAGGTGCCAACCAGTTTTCTCAAGATCAAATAGCCAGGACCCTAGACAATTTGCAGCACACATCCCCTCTTTACTACTGCACTGCTGCTTTAAATGGAGTGAGATTATCCCTCCTCTAAACCCTTAAAAGAATCCTTATGATTTACTTGATAGGAATTCTTTATACCTTGTATGATTTTCTTCCTGGTGTGGCTGTGTGAACTTCAAGCTCGTTGAGGGCCTCCTTGTGTTCCAGACATTCAAAGCTGGTAATCAGGAGGGCCATACCAGTAACTGTACCAGTTTAAATGTGGAAATATCTGCATATTAATTGGTTATTACCACATCCCCAAACCCTCCAAGCATCTCACTCACCAACCCAGCTATGCTGATCCCTGTCCTTAGAGTCCTTGCTTCTCACAATTCAGCAACTTATGGGTTAACACCTAGCCCATGAGGGGGTCACCGAAACTCTGCTCCAGACATAAGATCACTGCCCATGCTGGTTGGTCATTGTTACGTCTAAGCAATTTGAACATCATTCCATCTGGTTTTTTTTTTTTTTTTATACAGTCTCGCTCTGTTGCCCAGGCTTTACTTGGCTCACTGCAGCTTTATCGTGGCTCACTGCTGCTTCCACCTCCTGGGTTCCAGCTATTCTCTGGCTCAGCCACCCAAGTAGCTGGGATTACAGGCATGTGCCACCACGAATGGCTAATTTTTGTATTTTTAGTAGAGATGGGGTTTCACCATATTAACCAGGCTGGACTCAAACTCCTGGCTCCAAGTGATCCACCCGCCTCAGCCTCCCAAAGTGCTGGGATTAAAGACATGAGCCATCACACCTGGCCTCATCTGATATATTTTTTAAAAACTCCTTTGTAGTTGCTTATGAGTATATGTATATTAAAAGAGAAAATAAGGGCAGGTGAGAGAGAGAAGGAAATAAAACACAAAATGCATACACTGGTGTATGATAGCATCCTGGTACCAGCAATAGTCGCAAGAAAATGACCAGTGATGCCACCCAGGTTAAGTTTGGTATCTCAGTGAGTTTCACCATGCATCAGAGACTGCCTACAGGTTTCAGAGGTGAGGCACTGTACAAACTGAAGTCAGGTTATGATTTTTAATCACTCAGCATCCAAGCACACCTGTGACTCTCTCTTGGTGTGCAGCTATAGAAACATGGGTTCACCATCACCACTAGTATCATCAGCTAGAGAACATTCTTTTGTTTGTCACTGTTCTGATCAATCGTTACCTTAGGCTTTCCTGAATCCTGCAATAACAGAGTTCTGCTTAAATCCAAAGCACGAATCCATCCCCCTGGGACTATGCCACAGAGAAGGCTGTTGGTAATTTTTTTAAATGCTCATTAAAAACCATTCTGAAACCATTTTATTTCTTGTATGAAAATGGCATCACATTAGCCCTACCAGACCTGTCCCTGAAATTTAGAAGAAAATTGTGCCGTAATACAGAGTTCATTTACTCAAGTAAGCACACACCTGCTTTCTGCATTACAGAATGGTTCTATTTTCATCCCAGCAGCTGTCCCTGGGTCTGAGTTATATAAATGAATAATGCATTTAATATGTTATTAAATGGGGCTGCTACCTCCGTAATAACAAGGCAACTTATGATTATGTTGGACCTGCGCTCTGAATATTACTGGGATGCATTTAGTTGGTAAAGCATTCTTCAATCTGCCAAGAAGAAAAGTGCTTTGTAATGGCAAGGGAGTCTTTGTACAATTACTGAAAAGGAAACATTCTGCAAATGTGCCTTTGATATTACCGATGGTTCATCAGTAGATAGGATTTTATTACTCCAACAACCCCAGTTTCAGCTATTCTCTTCCTCCCTATCTTGATATGCCTCTGTCACATTTTCCTTTTTGCCCCTACCCTCTTTGATTTTGCTTCTTTGCTACCTGGAAGTCTTAAAAAAGATGAAGGCAATAGGCCGGGAGTGGTGGCTCATGCCTGTAATCCCAGCACTTTGGGAGGCTGAGGCAGGCAGATCACGAGGTCAGGAGATTGAGAACATCCTGGCTAACATGGGGAAACCCAATCTCTACTAAAAATACAAAACAAAATTAGCTGGGCGTGGTGGCAGGTGCCTGTAGTCCCAGCTACTCCAGAGGCTGAGGTGGGAGAATGGCGTGAACCTGGGAGGCGGAGCTTGCAGTGAGCTGAGATTGTACCACTGCACTCCAGAGTGAGACTCTGTCTCGAAAGAAAAAAGAAGGAGGCAATATTTTTGTGAAAGTAAAACTGGAAAAAAGCATTAAAAGTCTTTGTAGCCTGTGACTTTTCTATTTAGTAGGTTTTTTCCCTGACATTTTGAGGTGGTGATGGCAAAATACAGATGTTTTTGAGTATTCAATGTATATTAAAGTGACAGTATATTCTAGCTTAGTAGATCTCAACCCTCTCTACCCTTTGGAATTAGCTGGAGGTACCTTTAAAATAGATGGATACCCAGGCTCTGCAACCAGAAATGTTGATTTGAGAATTATGGGCATCAGTTTGTTTTTGTTTTTAAGTTCCCCTGGTGATGCTAGTTTGCAGCCAATGTTAAAGACTACAAATTTAAGAAGGCAAAAACCAACAGATGTCGATGTGGATGTAGTGTAAAGGGAGCGCTTATATATGGCTGGTAGGAATGTAAATTAGTACAAATTAGTACCATGTCTATGGAAAACAGAATGGAAATTTCTTAAAGAACTAAAATTAAATTTACCATTCAATCCAGTAATCCCACTACTGGGTATCTACCAAAAGGAAAAGAAGTCATTATATCAAAAAGACATGTGTACATGTATGTTTATCACAGCACAATTCACAATTGCAAAGATATGGAAACAACTTAAGTGCCTATCAGCTGATGAGTGGATAAAGGAAATGTGATGTATAAACACAATGGGATACTACTCAGTCATAAAAAAGAATGAAATAATGTCCTTTGAAGCAACTTGGATGGAGCTGGAGGCCATTATTCTATATGAAGTAACTCAGGAATGGAAAATCTAATACCACATGTTCTTACGTATAAGTGGGAGCTAAGCTATGGGTACACAAAGACATAGAGAGTGGTATAATAAACTTTGGAGACTCAGAACGGGTGAGGGAAGAAGGAGGGTGAGAGAAAAAACTACATATTGGGTACAATGTATGCTACTCAGATGACAGATGCACTAAAATCTCAGACTTCATCACTACACAATCCATCCATGTAACCAAAAACC